TTGGGAGAAACAGGCAACCCACGCAGTGATTTAGGAGGGGACCTCCTGCCTCCGCAGGAGAGATCAAAGGGAGCGACAGGCGCAGCGGGATTGCTGTCAAACAAGCTCTCCTGCGAGGAGCCAGTCGGGCCAGGTACTACTTCCCGAGTTGCTCTGAAGAGCAATGAGATGGCAAGATATTTTGGGTGGAGGCAGATGGCCTTGGACAGGTGATTTGAAAGGGCAGTAACAAGTAACCTTACCCACCGCAGCACCGTGCACTGCTTCCTCACCCATCCGGGGTGGGAATGCTCATCCTGGTCTCTGCAGAAGGTCCCTGGATGTCCCAAGCTGACCCCTGCTCTGGGAGCAGGGACATCTGGGCACCCCACCCCCTTTAAACAAAAAAGCAAATCAATTCCGCAGGGCCAGCAGCACTGGAAGCAACAAGGGCCATGTTCTCAGCGTGGTTTACAGAGCAGCTGGGAGCAGTAGGCAGGCAGCAGCAAGGAGGATGGCTCCAGCAGGGAAACAGCGATGGCAGCACATGGAAAAGACTGCTCCTGGGGGAGAACCACTGCCTCGCACCTTCTCCAACTGCTGAATCAGAGTTAACTTTCAGCCAAGTTACAGAATTTCTTCTTCTGGGCTATGCTTGTTGAGGAAATTTCTCTTCCTTCCTGTAACGGGCACGTGCTGGCCAGCGAGTCTCGTCCCCATGAACAGCCCAAGCGAGCAGCGCGGCGGGCACCACGCAGCACCGGGCACCACGCAGCACCGGGCACCACGCAGCACCGGGCGTCGCGCCACGACTCTGGGCCCACGTGTTTTACCAACGCACAGTTGTCCAGGTTGCTGTCAGCACCTCAGCACAGCTTGCCCGTGCTCAGAGCTGTTGGGAATAAATCGCCAGAACCCCGGCTTGCCCTGCCGTGCCCGGAGGAGTTAATGATTAAACTCGAGGCAGGGCAGTGCTCTTGGAACAAGTCAGATATGTTATCACTGCGCATGAGCCCCCGTGCAAGGAACAACAGTGACCCTTTCTGTCTCTTACTTGACTGTTAAAGGACATTTGGAAACAATCTGAGATCTCTGGGAAGCAGGAGCGTACCCTCACCCCTGCCCTGCCACGGGTGGACCAG